TAAATTTATTATCTAGCTCTGCCACATACTGGTATGAAAACATTGAGCATGTTTCATCATCACCTTTGGCTTGGATTTTCAACCTCAAAATGTGAAAAATAATAGCTACTGCACAGGGTTGCTGTGAGGATTTGACAATGTAGGTACAGAAGCAAAGTGTCCAGGACAGTACTTCCAACACAAATACAATTCAAGCTACATATGAAATTTGAAATTCTGTAGTGTCACATTAGAAAGTAAAATGAAACAGATGAAATTATTTTAATAAGGTATTTTGTTTAAATATCCAATTATTATTTCAACATGTTATCGATGCAAAAGTTATGAGATATTTTGCATTTTTTCATACCAAGTCTTTGAAATTTGATGTGTAACAATGCTTATAGCACATCTCAATTGAGAAGCTAAATCTTCATCAGAAACAATCTGTATTTAGGGTATGTACAGTTAACAGCTTGAACTGTAGAGTTACTAACCCAAGTTGCTATAAACATATTTCAAAGTTTCTCAAGGAAGTTTTAAATTTAAATTTAAATTAATTAAAAGTAAATAAAAGTCTGGCACCAGTGGGCTCACGCCTGTAATTCTAAATACCTGGGAGGCTGAGCTTAGGAGGATTACAGTTCGAGCAAATAGTTCTCAAACCCCCATCACCAAAATAACCAGAGTAAAATGGACTGGGGATGTGGCTCAAGCAGTAGAGCACCTGCTTTGCAAGCATGAAGTCCTGAGCTAAAACCCCAATCCCCAAAAAAATAAGTAAATAAAAATTTGTCCCTCAATCATGAGCTACATGTCAAGTAATCTATTGCCACATGTACTACTAGAAACTATGCTAGACAACAAACACAGGTGCTGTGGTTTGAATATTTAATCCTCCAAACTTCATGCTGAAATTTAATTTCATTGTAACACTATTATCTTTTTAAAAACATGTAATTGATGAAGTTTTTGAGTGTTGTGCTCCTAAATGCATTTTAATTAATTTATTTATTTATTGCAATTCTGGGGTTTGAACTCAGGGAGTCATACTTGCTAGGTAGGTGCTCTCTACCACTTGAGTCAAGCCCCCCAGCCCTCTTTGCTTTAGTTATTTTTTTAGGATAGGGCCTTGTGTTTTTGCCTGGGGTCGGCCTGGACCACAATCTTCCTACTTACATCTCCTGCATGGCTGGAAATATGTCTGTGGCTATTGGATGAGACTAGGTCTTGATAACTTTCTTGACCTGGGCTGGCCTCAAACATGATCTTCCCAATCTCTACCTCCAAAGTAACTGGGATTACACATGTGCATCACTGTACACAACTTAAACTTGTTTTTACTTTTGGTGGTACTGGAATTTGAACTCAGGGCCTCACGCTTGGTAGGCAGGCATTCTACTGCTTGAGCCATTCCCCCAGCCCATCTAAATGCGTTTTTATCACATGACTTTTCATAGCATATAGATTTTTAGGAACCTATATGTTGCATTATATATATATAGCATAACTGACTATACCATTCAACATTTTACAATTGGTCCATTTCTCTAACTTCCCACTGCTATCAGCTTAATCTAAGTAACTATCATTTTCTACCTGGACTGTAGCAATGGTCTAATTCTATGCTTCTCAACCAGGGACAGAACTTCCCCACTCTGACCCCTGTCCAAATCACTGGAAATGTATGTGCAGGTGTGTGTGTGTGTGTGTGTATTTTTGGTTGCACAATGATTTGAAAAGGGGTACTACTAGTAGTCAATGAACAGAGACCAAGAATGCTACAAGTTGAGCAATGTCACCCACACAATTTTTTCCCACCTAAAAATTCTTAATGCAGTCCCATTAAGAAAAACTACTAACTGGTTTCCCATATATGCTTTTAGCTTTCTCTACACTGCAGCCTGAGAGATCAGATGATGCCTCTCTTATGTTTAATTCCCTTTAAGAGTTTCCCCTTACTCTAAAGATTAAGGTCAAAATCAAGGTGTGGTCTACAAGTTCCTGCCTTCCCTTTCAGCTTCATCTTATGTCACTTTCCTCTTTTGCATTTACTATGCTTTAGGCAGTGATTCATTCAACAAGTAATGATTAAATATCTATGTACCATGAAACATTCAAAGGTATGGGACAGAATAGTGAACATGAGTCAAAAATTCTCTGTTCTCTTAGCTTCTATGAAGATGCCAGGCTTATCCTTAGCTCAAGGCCTCACCACATGCCGCTTCTTATGCTTAGTTACACACACAAAAAAAGAATATTTGTTTATTTGTTTATTGATGACGATGAATATATTTATATACGTATATGCACCTTTATGCTTTATGAATATGTACATATAAATACACTCATGTCTATACATATTTCCAAATATTTCTGCAAGTGAATACATTTGAGAATATGTGCATACACATGTGTACATATAAGGATATGTACATACAATTTTAGGTATATTCACTCATATGAATCCCTGGGTATATTAATGTATACTCGTGTGTGTGTGTGTGTGTGTGTGTGTGTGTGTGTGTGTGTGTGTGTGTGTGTGTATTCTTCCTAGTCCTTCAGTGACAACTCTAACCTCCTAGAAGGAGCTAGGAGCACGGCCCCAAGTCTTCTCTAAGATGATAGCTCAATAAAAGTCTAACATCATTCAAAGACATTCCAAATGTCAGCAAACACTGGCTTGTTCCACTATGCTACAGGAGAAAGGGATGGAGGTGGGAGATGTGGAAACCTGGCTGTTTAAAAGTTTTTCTTTGCTAATGAAGTTACACCATTCATTTCTGGAAAAGAGAAGGCAGCTGAAAAGACATTTTGTCTCTTCTCAGATTAGAGGTCCTAGGAAATGGTGACAGTGAGATCAGTCCCAGTTGCTCACTTAGTTGCACATCTGGAACAAGATGTGGCTGGAATGTACAGGAAGGGATTATACCCTTGTCTTTCCTAGACCTGCTCAGTTTACCTCAAAAGGAAAATATAACATCAATTGGGAACAGAGTCTTATTTCCCCTTGTACCATTCCCTCCTCCATAGCTTAGCAGTCTGGCCAAGAACCAAGCAGATGGGGCTTGGGATAGCCAGCCTCTATCCCCACCCTTTTGGTTCAATTCCACCAAGGTAGTGCTGAGTGCAATGTTATCACATGGATCAGCTGCTCTTCTGCCTTTCTGCCTAGGAACCTAAAGGCAGGGAGCTATCCACACACCAAAAAGTCTAGTGAACTTCAGAGAGTAATTGTTCATGGTCAGTGCCTGCCTCGCCTGGCCGGGCCTTCACATTGCATTTGCTGAGGCCAGCAAGCAGCCTCAGATGAGCTCTGACAGCTGGTATGCTGTCTTCCAGGAGTACACGCCTAACCACACCACCATGCCTAGCCTCACCAAGCCCCTTTCTGGGAGGGTCTCTGTGGAGGAGCCAGTCATCCAGCAATTATTCACTGAGCATATACTCTGTACTCAGGCCTGGTCTAGCCACATGGATACAGACTCAGTCTGTGTGCTCCAGATGAGCATGTACCGAAGGAAACACACATGGACTCAGTTTCAGCTGAGTTAACTAATATCACAAGTCCAAGGAAAGAGAAGTGATATCTGAATCGAATCTTCAAGGAGAGGGAATATTTCTGATGAAGATGACTGGGGAACACTTCAGGCAGAGGAAAGGCCACAAACCAAAGTCCAGAGGTAGGACAGGGCCTAGCTTCCTCAGTCACAGATGAGAAGTAGTAAGTGGCAGTGGTTTAGTTGCATGGGTGAACAGCAGGAGAGGTAGGTAAAGATCAAAGAACAAACAAGCCAGAGTGCAAAGGACATGTACACAAGGAGAAGGCAAAGAAGCTCATAAATGCTGCCAGAAAATTTGGAATCAAGTCCACCGTCATTTTCTTCCACTGTTCCACATGATCCCTTAGCTCCAGCAGTACATACTAAGAGCATCTGCTCTCCCTATCTAGAAAGCACTCTCTTTTTCCTGTATATATCTATATTCCATCTTCTTTGGTTGCCAGTTTAAGAGCCAAATCATCACAATATATAGCCTGACCCCTCAATATCCTTTTTTTTCCTGAGCCTTCAAAGGAGCCACAAGCTTGGTCCCTGGTGTATTCTCCCCTCTCCAAGCTTCCCGGGTGTTACTAAGCTGACCAGTGGCATGAAATTCTGAAGACTGCTCCATAGAAGTTGTCTTTATATCAGAATGATTTATGGATGTCATCTTTAGTAGACTGGCCCTCCAGAACAGGGATCTGGGGAGTCAATTCTTATATATCCTTACTTCTGCTTACCTAGAAAGTATAGCAGTTTTCTGGATGATTCATTGTCTACCAGGGCCATTATCCTAACTACACAGGGTCCTTCCCAGACCACAGCCTCATGCCAGCTGTTCAGGTCCTTAATAATGCATTAGTGCCAAGCTTCTCCCTCATGCCCAGTTTCCATAGTCCTCCCCTATATGAGCAAGTCTCTACTGGGGCCACATGGGACCAAAGCCAGCTTGAATGAGCCCATACTTCCAACCAGCAGGAGATACAAGGGCAGCAGGAGGCTCACAGGTCACACTCAGGTCTGGAGGTGTGGCTCAAACAGAAGAATACCTATCTAGCAAGCACAAAACCCTGAGTTCAAATCCCAGTATCCCCTACCCAAAAAAGATGCCAAACTCATGTGACTAGAAATGAAGAATGCTTCTTGGGAGGTTAAGCTAGGACCACATACATCTCTTCTAGTGACAACAAGGCTCAGCCCACACTGGGCTATGGCTGAGAACCCTGAAAAATCTCTTCAACTGGGACTTCTATGTATGAGTGGGTGACACTAACTAGGGCAGTGTCACATTCCACCCAGCTGCCTAGCTCCCAAGTAGCAACCCACTCCCAGAAAAACTACAACATCTTGGTAAGTATCACCTAAGGAAGAAGAAGAGATATTGAGAACAAAAAGAAAAAGAAAGACAACAGACATGAGAGGGAAGCTATGAGGCATAGGAGAACCAGAGGAAGGCCCTGGGTAGGGCTCAGACAGTACCTTTTTCAGATTAATCCACTGCTTGAAGTAATCTGCCACTGGTAAGCCCAAGTACTGGCACTGGCCTGGGAGCCTACAAGAAAGGGAAAAAGATAACAAGTTTGATGCAAACATGTCTTAAACTAGGAGGTCCAATAAAGTCTTTATGACAAATAGACCTCAAAGCCCAACCCATTTGCCATGACTTCTACCCACGACACCATGAACTGAGCTCCAGAATCATCCCTCAGATCTAACTGTTAGTGCCTGCAAACACTACTCAAAATAACATCAGCAGCTACTATTTTCTAAGGACCTACAGTATGCCTTACTTCCATGCTTTACATATAATCTTTAAAGTGACATTGTGAGGTAGATACTATTGTCTATGTTTTATAGAGAAGAAAATGAGATTCAGAGAAATTATCCAAGGTCCCACAGCTAAAAAACGACAATGCCAAAAACTGAACTCAGTTGTTTGACTACAAAGCCTATGATCTTTCCAATGCTCCAATTTGTTGCTTTGTTAGAGAGGCAAAGACACAGATGGGAGGAAAGAAAAGGCACATGATGTAGAGAAAGATGGGCAGGGGCTCAGCTCACCTTTAAGTCTCCAGCAGTCAGCTTATTTCAGATAGGGAAAGAACCATGCAAAAGGATGGGAAGAGAGGAAGATGTTACTGGAAATATCAGCAATGAAAGAGCATAGTGTTTTCTTTCTAAGAGAAGTGGCCAAAGGCAATAGAAAGCCTCTGAGGAACTGGGATTTGTCAAGATTATTCTGGGAGTAGCAGAAACACAACTGGCTAAAAAAAGGGAAAAAAAAAAAAAAAAAAGGTGGTAGCCAGGAGACTAGAGTCAGCAATGGTAGAGACAGTGATCAAGGAAGAAACACAAGACATATAAAGGAGAACTTGTCGACCTAATGGGAAGTGGAACCTGCTAAAGTTTGAATTTTGAATGACCTCCTGCAAAGGCTCATGTGCTCTAGGCTTGGTCCCCAGCTAATGGCACTATAGGGAGATGGTAGAAGCCTCAGGAAGCAGAGCCTACTTAAAGGAAGTTAGATAACAGGGATGAGAGGGGGAACAATGGAAGGGGATCTTAGGACCTTTGCCCCTTCCTCCTTCCCCCCTGCCTTTCAACATGGGAGTAGGGATGGGGAAGAAAGAATAGAGAAAGGAAGAGAGAGGGGGAGGCAGACAGTCAGTCAGTCTCTCTCTCTCTCTGCTCCCTGTTGCCATGAAATGAACAGTCCTCTTCCAGCACATCCTTCAGCCATGAAATACTGTGCTGCCACAGGCCCAAAACAACAGGGCCAAATGACCATGGACTGAAACCTCTGAAGCCATGAAAAATAGAAATTTCTCTTTTTAAGTTGATTATCTTAGGTATTTTGTCATAGTAACAAAAAGTTGACTAACATAGGACCCAATGAGGAAAATCAGGAACAAGTCAAAGACCGCTCGGCTAGTGCTAAAGTTTGATCATGGCCCCCAAAGTTCATATTCATGAGTTGGAAACTTAAAGCTCAAAGTAACAGTGTTGAGAGGTAAACCTTTAAGACAGATATACACACACACACCTTTCTGCCTTCTACCATGGAATGAAGCAGCAAGAAGCCCATCATCAGATGTGGGCCCTTTAATCTTAGACTTCCTATTTACAAATTATCTAGTCTCGTGTATTCTGTTATAGCAGAACAAAACAGACAGCTAGCTTCATAATATTTACTAAGATGGTAACATGGTAGGAGACAGTGACACAAAGAGCACATCTGATACCCAGGGAGGTCAGCATTTGGTCAATTTTGTTATCAGTTTTAAGTTTTCTGTATACACTATACTCCTTACTGCCCAAACTGGGGTAGATTGTTCCCAGCTCTAAAAGGAGACAGGATTTGGAGAATGATGTTTTAGATAAATGCCTGGCTCACGAACACTTGATGTTTATAGAGTTTCAGATGCAGGAAACATCTGGCAGTGGAATAATGTTTAGGAGGAAGCTATATGTCCAGTTTTGCTGAATCATTAATGTAAGTAAAATTACATAAGTAAGAATACATAAGATCACTTGGGTGAGGTGAGCAAAGAGCACAGGCTAATATCTTGTTTTAATTAGTTAAAATGAAACCACCTCTACCAGACCATCACCACACACAGGGAATTCAATCCTTCATGCAGCAGCCATTTCTAATTTTGGACTCAATTTTACAATATCCTTTTTTAAATACCAAACTAAAACTTGTCTCCCCACAACTCTTAACCATGAGCCTGAGGTATACTTGCAGAAAGTACAGAGATTTCCACCTCTTCCTTATGAAACCCTTCCAAGATCTGAGAGCCTAGAAAATTTCCCTCAGAGTTCCCTTCTGCAGACCACATGCTCTTATCTCCTTGCAGAGTTCCTTAGGAGACAATATGCCAGAAGCCAAGACTCGCTCCCTCCCCTTTTTACAGGGTATCAGACACCCAAGGTCACATATGCCTCTTGACCCCACTTCATATCACCTGTGGTCAGTCTAAACTGTGGAAGCATGTGTCTCCTTTCTATAAAGTACATAATTGATGGTTTTACTTAAAATGTAGTTCATTAGTACCAAATGTCATAGAATAGTCAAGCAACATGAAAGCTGAGAAGCCAGGTGCTGGTGGCTCATGCCTACAATCCTAGCTACTTGGGAGGCTGAGATCAGGAGGATTGAGGTCCAAGGCCAGTACAGGCAAACAGTTCATAAGACCCCCATCTGTAAAACGGCCAAAGCAAAATGGATTGGTGGTGTGTTTTTTCTTTGAGGTACTGGGGTTTTAACTCAGGGTCTACACCTTGAGTTACTCCAACAGCCTTTTTTTTGTGTGTGTGATGGTTTTTTTTTTAGATAGGGTCTTGTGAACTATTTGCCTGAGCTGGCTTCAAACCATGATCCTCCTGGTCTCTGCCTCCTAGGTAGCTAGGATTATAGGCATGAGCCACTGGCACCTGGCCTGGTGGTACGTCTTTAAACAGCACAACGCCTGTTTTCTAAGTGGAAAGCCCTGAGTTCAAACCTCAGTCCCACCAAAAAAAAAAAAAAAGAAAGAAAACAAAAGCTGAGATTTACCAATGGATTTGATAATAATAAGATCACAAGTGATCTTGGTGAAAGGGATGTCAGTATCAGGTGGAGAGGGCAGAGGAAGTCTGCAAAGTGTTGTAGAGTTAGCAAAAGATAAGAAAGAAAAGACCACAAGTACAAACTCCTTCTTTTAGGAAGTGAGGCTATGAGAATCCAGTTGAAATGACTAGTTTAGTTCAGAAAGTTGAAAGGCAATCCAGCTTTCCCTCCATTACTCTTCAAAGGCTTGACATACTAATCGGAAGTTGACCTCCATGTTTCATGCAGTATAGTACTGATTCATTTTTATTTTTTTAATTAAAAAAAAAAAAACTTTGGGAGATACAGGGTTTGAACTCAGGACCTCACCTGAGCCATGGCCCCAGCTCTGAAGGATTTACTTTTATAAGATCCAAGATATCTTACTTGAGAGGTAGATATCCAGGAGTCACAGTGACACTAACAACAATCAGTTGGTTTTCTGGAAGAGAAATTCTGGCTGAGGCTAAAAGGTTGAGGGGATATCTAGAGAGGATATGCTCAGGTAGAACCAAGAACCAAAGAAACAAAGATATCAGGCAAAGTTTTTAAGGATGAGAGGCAGCCTTGGGAGCTATAATCAAATTGCCTGAGAAGCAAAACTATAATCTAACTATTTGAATAATTTTCTTATTTCCTTCAATCTTTCTTTCATGTTCTTTATCCTTGGTGTTTGTGAAAATGCTTGCTGAGCCCAGCTATTTTAGAAAAATCACACTGAGGTCTGATCTGGGAGTGAAAGGGCCACCAGAAGCAGAAATAGTATAGGGTACTAGGTAGCAAAAGGCAGGGAGCCTTATCTTATTTTCCCTTAGCCAACCTTAGCACCTCTTGATTCTTTTAGTTGACACAAGCCAGGAGTCCTATTGGCTCTGTCTAGATCATGGGGACAAAGGGCTCCCTCTTCAGTGGGATTTCAAGGGTACACAACAACTATAGATTTCTACACAGTTAAGAAGGGTCTAGCTCAGTAGGTTCCTGCTTGCTCCTCTGGAGGAGGATCTACAACAGAAAGAGCACACTGAGGACAGACCTCAGTGGGCTGTATATTCATTCATAGCCGAATACAGATCAGCAGCAGACCTGAGTACAACTCTATGCCCCATGTCTGACTGGAACACAGGGCAAGGAGGAGTGGAGACTACTAGTCTCATTCAGGGGCTGTATGGATGCAGTCTGCAGATTCACTGATGAGCATTCAAGTTGTTGAGTGGTCTTCTGAGTTCTAGCTCTGTGACTCTAAGAAACAAGTAGTACAAATGCAGGAGGACCTAACTCCATTTTCATGAAAGACACAGAGCCAAGTCCCAGAACTTGCCTCATGGGAAGACAAATGCACATTTCTATCACACAAATCTCCATCTACCCCAGCTTAGAGAGCACCAAGAGATAAAACTCTGCAAGCAAGATGGTCATTATTATCTATGAAAAACAAGAAACTGAGGCTCAGAGAAGAAAAAGGATTTTCTCCATGATACGACAAGCCAAGAACAGAATAAGAAATTAACTCTTTTTTTTTAAGTACTGGGTGTTTGAACTCAGGGCCTCAGGGCCTCATGCTTGGTAGGCAGGTGCTCAAGAAATGGACTCTTAAGACTACTGATTGCACAAGTACCAGTTGTATGGATTCATTTAGAACTCTTTTAGTCCCTGATAAAGCAAAGCCTGAGGCCTAACATAAGTAGGTATGATGGTGTCACTGCTCCAGGTCCCACCTTCATTTAAAATTCTTAGAAGCCTAAGGTTAGGGTCAGTGGCTACCACTGGATACTCTGGTTCCAACAATTCGAAAAAGGGCAAAAGTCCCTCTGGCACAAAAGGTCTGAATACTCTAAGTTCCTACCAGATACTGATCCTAAGAAAAGAGTCACTGGCAGTGGGCCCTGATAGCCGGCAGGTATGAATGTGCAAGTTTATAGTGCCCAGGTTTCCATGCAGCTGGATTCACTGGGCACAAAGCT